CCAGCACATTCCCCCTTACATTCACCAGCACACTCCCCTTTACATTCACCTCCATCAAACAACCAATCACCTCACATTTCTTTAGAAAGTGGTGGACAAATTTACATTGATTTGCCTATAATGAGTGATAACCAATCTAATCATATTCCACAGAATTCCTCTACTTCTCCTTTGCAGGCTGCAGGTGGACATCATATGAGGACAAGGTCCAAATCAGGCATTTATAAACACAAGGTTTATTCTACTTCTGTGATTTTAGAGGAGCCTAAGAATATTGTTGATGCTTTAAAAACACCAGAATGGAAGTTTGCTATGACACAAGAGTTTGAAGCTCCTATCAAAAACAATACTTGGGAGCTGTCTACTTTACCACCAGACAAAGATGTTATTGGGTGCAGATGGGTTTTTAAAACCAAAAGGAATGCAGATGGAACTTTAGCCAAGTATAAAGCTCGGTTAGTAGCTAAAGGCTACACACAATCTCTTGGTTTTGATTATACAAAGACTTTTAGTCCTGTAGTGAAGCCAACAACAATCAGGCTTATCCTTAACATTGCACTCTCACAAGGTTGGGAAATCAGACAACTAGATGTGGCTAATGCTTTCTTAAATGGGGAGTTAGATACAACTCTCTACATGAAACAACCACCAAGTTTTTGTTTCAGGTTCTCAGAATCTTGTTTGTAAATTAAAGAAGTCACTCTATGGCTTGAAACAAGCATCCAGAGCTTGGACAAGCAAATTTTCTTCAGTGTTAAGGCTTCTTAAGTTCCAATCCTCCAAGGCAGATACTTCACATTATTATAGGCATGCTAAAGGCTCTACAACTCTTATCATAGCTTATGTTGATGATATAGTGATCACAGGGAACAATCCAACAAAAATTCAAAATATCATTCAACAAATGCATGCACATTTTTCTCTTAAGGATCTTGGCCCTGTGAATTTTTTCTTAGGAGTTGAGATCAAGAAAGCTAATGATGGTTTTTTCTTGTCTCAAAAGAAATACCTACAGGATCTTCTTATTAGGGCAGGGATGCCCAATGCCGAGGGCCTTTCTACACCAATGATCACAAGTCCACCTTTATCTAAGCATGATGGTGTCCCCTTTTCTGATCCTAAACTGTACAGAAGCTTAGTTGGTGGTCTTCAATATGCCACCTTGACAAGACCAGAGATTAGTTTCAGTGTGAACCGAGTAAGCTAATTCATGTAGTGTCCTTTGGATAAACATTGGAAAGCACTCAAGAGAATACTCAGATATCTCTCAGGCACCTTAGAGTATGGTCTTTTCTTCACTCCTTCAAACATTCACACCATTCAGCCTATGCAGATGCAGACTGGGCCTCTGATATTGATGATAGAAGAAATACATCTGGATTTTGTGTTTTCTTAGGCAATAATATCATTTCTTGGAGCTCTAAAAAGCAACCAACGGTTTCTCGTTTCAGTACTAAAACAGAATACCGCAGCCTTGCCCTTGCTATCTGTGAACTTTCTTGGATTCAGTTTTTACTACAAGAACTTCATCACCCTCTTCACAGACCTCCCATGCTTTGGATGGATAACATGGGTGCAATATCTTTAGCTGGGAACCCTGTGAATCATGCTCGCACGAAACATCTTGAAATAGACCTACATTTCATACGAGAAAAGGTAGCTCAGAAATCGGTTCTTATTAACTATGTCCCAACTCAAGACCAAGTGGCAGATATTTTTACAAAAACTCTTTCTTGTCAATTCTTCACTCGGCTCAGGAACATGTTACATGTTTTACCTCAGACCTCGCTTGAATTGCGGGGGGATAAAAGCCCGGTGACATAGGGAAAAGTTTGCATTCCTCCATCAAATGTCCATATTTTCCAAAGCCAATAAGGAGATGGTGACATCATCATGGTCATGCAGATCACATGAGGGGCTCGTGAGAGACTTTAACATTTTCTGCTTTTATTTTTCATTCTCTTCCTTTATTGATTTTGTCATCTTCTTCTATATTTTATCACCTTCAGATTAGTGCCATGTGTAAGGTGTAGATTAGTTCCATCATTGTATATAAACATCTTGCATTGAGATAGGGTTACAATGAATTGTTATTGATGAATGAATGACGACTGTCTTCTTCCACTTTGAGGCTCACCATGATTCTTGATTTGATTGCACATTGTATTTTAGCTTTCACATTCGCGTAGTGTCCTATTTTGACATTTCCAGCATCTGCAACTCTTTTTTTCTTTACTGACAATATTCTTCCTACGTATTTTCTTTGTTCTCTAAACTTTCATCTATATTTTTCTCTCCATGGTTTTCTAATGTCTTATATCTTCTAGTCTATATCGTCCATTGAACTTATTTTATTTATGATATATTTTCCTTCTATATGGTTCATAACAACCAAATTCTTGTGGTACGTTTTCTAATTTTTTACAACATCTTGAATCGACATTAATCATTTCACGGTGTTCTAATTTCCTTATACAAAGTTCATCTCTATATTCTTTCGCATATTTTTTTAAAATTTCTAGAGTTATTTCTTCTCTTGTTTCACTTATTTTCTTATGAATATATTTATCCATCTCATATTTAAATTTACTTTCAACTATTTCTATTAATCCTGATCGATCCTTAATTTTATAGCAATTTTCTCTTACTTGACAAAAAAAATTCTATGCAACATGCATTACATAACTTCATGTTTGTTAGAAATCTAACTACTTTATCTTTTTATGTTTCCTTTGATTATTGTCCAGTAATTCCTAAAAATTCTCTTAATAGGTATTTTGTTAATTCTCTTAAAGCTGCTATTTTATATTCTTCTCCATTTTCTAAACCACTGCTTCAAAATATAACAAAATCCGAGTATTTTCTAAATTGTCAAATAACACTCCGGATGTTTTATATCATATATAATTAAGAAAATTTGTTAATGGCATTCCATTAATCATTGAATCATTAGTTTGAACTAGTAATTTTAATTGATTAGCCCAAGCGACTATTAAATCTTCTAGATTGGTTGCACAATCTATATTTAATATCCAATTAGATAGATTTATTTCTTCTTCTAAATATGATTGTTGTATATTTCTCTTGTTGGTAGCTATAATCATTTCTATATATAAAATCTCTAAAGTTTCTTCCTACATAATTATTCTGTGTGAACTAGATGCTTCATTATTACTTGTTCTATGTCGTTTTGGTGATAATGATGGTGGTGTTTAAGGTTTTTTATCAAGCATATTAAATGTGAGTTCATCTTAATCTTCAGTATCTATTCCATATATTATTCCTTGTTTATCCCCATCATCAACTTTTGTCATTCTAGTTTCTTAAATATTGCATTTTTCTAATAACCGAGTTAATCTATCTAACTTGTTGCGGTTCTATTTGAATTAGTTTAAATATTTCTTTTCTTTTTTTTTTCTTTTTGTACTAAATCTCGTAATTCTTTTATTGGTTATTTTATTTTTTTCTAATTTTTCTAATGTTACTAATCGGGTTTTCTTTATCATTTCTATAAGTGTTTCTATTTGTACTGAGACTCTCAGTGGATCACTCATAAATTATTTATTTTTTAATTTT